TGACTCCGGCGGCCAAGCGATACTTGGTCTCGGAGATCTGCAGGGGTCAGGGAGTGGGTGAGGGGTGGTGTGACTGTTCATTGGGTTGTTAGAATTTTTAAAGACCATTGCCACATTGTTAGGCAAAAATGTTCCTTCTCAAAGGATACAGTACCACCTCAAATTGCAACTTAACTTAATTACGTGCTATCGCGGCAGTTATTGCTTTTTTTTTGCAAGCATAGCCAGTTTTTCAAAAGGACCCGCCTGAGTTGTGCAAGCTCACAGTCATGGAACAAATTGTCCTCCCAATTGCTCTCCTCCCACACCAGCCACCCAAACATCGTCAAAGTGACCCGCTTGGAGTTGGGAGGAGCTTCCATTCTCAAGGTGATCAAACTGCTGCTCAAATTGCGGGCATCTAATTTGTCTTCCACACGCCTCTGGTGACGCACGGTTCAACTTGACCCCAACAAATGGAACATTTTTTTTGGCAACAAGTTGGAAAAGCTGACAGGGTTTTGTGTTATTGTCAACTTGAAAGTTCTGTCAATTGACTAAAAGATGAATTTGATTTGTCTCCACCCCGAAGGGCACAGAAAATAAGAAACATTCCATTCCAACAGTTCAACTCTAAATATTAATAATAATCTCAATGGTCAAGATGCCTGATCTCGCCTCGATGGCCTCCAGCAACTCTCTCCGAAGTGAGGTGTGGTGCAAGGATCACTGCGACTGACCTGGTCGGATGTTTCGCCAGCACTTTCTGAACCACTCCGGTTGCAAAATTCAATTGCTTGTTGTCCATCCTGCCGAATTTTGTCAAGTCTGCCCAAGCAATAAAAGCCATGGGCGGTCCAGTGCCCGTCGTTTTGCGAGCTGCCATGAACTGCAGGGGAACAGCAAACAAGTGACTTAATCAATTGACAATGAACGTAAGGGTTAACAAAAACACGGTAGTTCATTTGACTGTGTCCACCAAACACCTGCTCAACGATGTTCAGGAGATCCGACTCAGTACCGGCCCTGCAGCAAGCGTTCTTTGCCATCCAGTCATCGACGATGCTGCCACCGATCGTGTTTTCCGATCGGATGTGTGTGATTCTCTTCAATCTGTCAGCCCGCTCCCCTTTCTCACAATGAGAGTATAGTTTGGCCAATGAGGCCACGTCGCGAGCAAGCTGAAGTGTGTCATGTTCCCACGCTTTCTTTCGCGCGTCATCTGAAAGGCATTGTAATCGGGAATCGGCTTCCACCAGGGCAACATCCATGGGCGCCACCTTCTTTTCCACATGATCGTTCCATAGGGCGGTCTCCATGGCATTGAAGCACGGGTCTTTGGTGGTCAAAATATCGCCAATTTCACCCATGAAGTCCCTGCAGACCACAGCTTGGGACACGTAAGCATATCTCCCAGAGCGAACAAAACTAAACCCTGCTTCAAAAGTTGGGACCATGGAAACAGCCACAAAACACCTGGCAAAATGAACCAGGGCACCCCTCAACCATTCCCAGCCGGATCTTGGCCAGAACATCTGGCAAAAAGTCGCTCTCATGGGCAGCCTCCATGCGTTCATATATGAACCCGAGCAGGCACATGCGATCAATCTCTAAGCTCCACTGCTGCTCTGAAGCAAGGCGGGTCAGAGATGCACGTCCACCTCTGCGGACTTGTATGTCATGTAAGAAGAACAGGCGCTGCAAAAAAAGGCACTGCTTGGTCGGTGTCATGAGTAGTATCTCATACCACAAGCCATTGGTTGCCTTGGCAATTCCTCCGACCAGCCACCTCGTGTCCGTGATGGTGGCAACACTGAAGGCTGCCAGGGGCAGGGAGCTCTCATTTTCAGAAACCAAACACGGCATGGCATCAGAAGGTTTAGACAAAATACAAACACACAACAATGGGAAGTTACGGACCTGTCTTACACTTGACTTAGAAAATCTCAGCTTAGCAGTGGATCAAAACCCCGGGCCCAATACAAATTTGCAAACGCCGACACCTGAGTTCTGGAAAGCATACTTGTGGAGGTGCCTCTCCAGCAAGCTCCATGCGGTATCACAAATACCCACCTGGCATTCAGCTGGCAATTGTTTTGTTGGATAAGTGCAACCGCACTTTGTTGGAAAACTTTAGATACACCTGAGAATGTTTTGACTGACTGCACTGGCATCTAAAAGTACACTGTTAACAAGACACTGAAAATGCTGTGCGTCACTGAGCGCTATCACCAGGGATCCATTTAGCAAAGGACAGAAACACCAGACTAACGTTGCAAACCAGGCAACTTTCATTCCGTACAGTTGGAGAGCTTGCTCATCGTCTACGCGATACTTCGGACTAGTCACAGCGATGCCATACTCATTGTATTCTGCCACACTGTCCAGGAATGCCATTTTGAAACCCTCAGAGCTGGTGGCACTGTATTTGTGGGGCTCCTTGCAGGGTCGACCTAATGGAAGTGGGTGCTTGCTATGTTATTAAAAGCTGTGGCATCCATACTTAGGGTTTGAACACATACAAAATAGACTGTCGTCTAAATGGAAGGTGTCTTAGATTAAGGATTTGCGCCTTGAGCACTTTCTCAGTGGCCCTTTTTTGCGAAAATCATGCACTTCTGCAACGGGTTCTTCCGTTGCCGTTCTGCTTGTTGTTCATGCATCTGTAGCCTCCGCCATTCGTAGTGGGATGTTTCCAAATGGATCATCAAAGTAGCGCCAATGGAGCGCACGGTGCCCATCCACCTGCCAAATAAAACCCGAACTTCTTCAAGCTAGACTCATTGGGCAGAAGGCTCACCCCATCACATACTTTAGTAATTTGGCAAATAGGCACAGAGTCGAAAGGTGGTATTTTGGCAAATAGGCATCGGGATATTTGCGTTGGTTGGGGAACTTGTTTGTGGGCATATCAACATCATCCCTGGGCCTTCCAAATCATGACTTCTCTGGGGACGATGGTGCCACCCGGACCATCACCCCTGGACCCCTTGGTCAAAGGCTATCCAATCATTTGCCAAATATCTAGTATTGTATGGCAATCTTCGTACGTAGGCCATGCCTATTTGCGACTGTTTGCAAATCTACTAAGTAGCGGAGTCACCATGTTCTGGTCATGCCACGGCTACCCCTGGGGACGATGGTTAGACACGGAGCATCACCCCCCTGAGGTCTTGTCCTCTGGAGTGCTTTGGGACGATGTTGATAGCCCCCCCAAATACCCAACTGGTTCCCAAATACCCGCCAAATAGCTCTTCCAAATAGTTCCCAAATTATCATAATTCCCAAATACCAATCGAATACTTCCCAAATACCTACCAAATACTTCCCAAATACATAGTACCAAGTACTTCCTAAATATCAAAATGCAGTCATACCCAACAAATACTTCCCAAATACTTAACAATAACCCAATGTACCCACCAAACTAAATACATCCACATACCACCCAAATACCACCCAAATACACCGGAACGCCTTACAAAATCCTTCTTTTCGTGATTGTCCAAGGAGTTCCACATCTCCAAATAGGTGTAGACGATAGCAAACAGAATCATGGAAGCTCGCCCAGCACCCTTCGTCACTGTAAATTGGGGCATCCTTGCCATATCATTCCGAGGCTTCACTTCGAAGGGCTCCCTCATGTTCTCAAAGCCCGAACGATAAATTTCGTTCGCGACTGACATCCAAGGAAGAAGCTGTGGAAGACCGTCTGATGGCAGCTCATACCACAAGGCGAGGGCGGGAAGCTGAAGGAAAGCTCCATGCTGGTCCTTGTACTCTAATCCAAAGGGCAGGGAACATGAATTGGGCTAGAGATACTTTTCTTTGACAACCAAGCACCACTCTTACAATAATCGAAAACCAAAGCCACTGAAAAAAATCATCGAATCCGGATCCGAAGCAATGATCCCGACATCATTCACCAACCATTCGTGAATAGCATGGTACAGGCCAGCATTCAACTTGCTGAGTAGATACTTGACCGGGTGTTCATCCTTGTCAAGATCAAATGACCTGTCAGGAATACAAGTGGCAGCCTATCATTCAATTTCTTGTAGTCCCTCGCTACTCAGTAGTCAAAGGTTTCGGAATCGTGCAACCCGGCCTCACTTCATTCAGAATCTTGTCGGCCCATGGAGTGTGAACAGTTTTCGCACTCTTAGCCCCCCGGTCGGGATCTACCGCAGATCGTTTCCCCATCCCACGACCCAACCAGTGTTCAGGCCGACACCGGTCAAGCAAACCTTGAGCACGATCAAGGCCGGAAGATCAGGTTTGTTGAGTTTTCTCCAGTCTGGCAATTGGCATGATACTGCAAAAGAATTTGAGCAAACCTTCAGCTCTTGATGAAAGACTATTTGTTTTGGGCACCTGCGAGCGCCGAGTCGATGCTAGGACCAAGGTCTCCGGCGAAAGTAACCATGTTCCCCATAGTCACCTGGGCATGAGCTGCAACAGCTTGGTGTTCTCAAAGTGCAAAAAAGAAACTATTCAACAACTCTTGGTGCCAGTTGCTGTCAGATTCAACAAGTAAAAGCGAAAACACAAGAGCCTTCAATAGACTACCACCTCTTCATCCAAGGCCACTAAAGTAAGCCTTGATTGCTGTTGTCAGCGCAGGTATTGGACCAGTTCTTCAGAGTGTGTTTCTCGAACACATGCTACATAATACTATGATCCGAAAACAAATGCGATGAATTGCTCCGAGAAGCCAGCGGGGCCTTTGGTGAAGAACAGCTGTACGGATGCATTGCAATTAGCTAGGCTCTAATTGAATGACACAGAGCGGAACAAACTTGTTTATTCGGTTCAAGGAGTTCTCTTTTTGGCTCTTAAAGGTTCAAGAAGAAGTTCTTACGCAAGATTCTGCACGCTCCAGTGCCAGTCGTAATATAAAAAAAAACTCATCGCCGGCATGCCCACACCAAAAGAAACATCGAGTTATGGTCAAGGGCCCGAATATATCATCTAGCAAAAAAAGAATCGACCATGCCAACTGCTCATTGAGCTGCATTTCCTCAACGGTTGGCTTTAATAGCGCAAACTGCGGCAAGCAGCACACATCCCACACACGGCGCCGACATGCTATTGCCAGCTAGCTTTGGGATTGCTGTTGAATTAATCTTTTGCAGATTCAACTTAGGTGCGCCACATGTCTCACTTTGACGGTCCGTCGTTGGGAGAGTTTGAGCTGTCAGTAACTCCTTTGGCGCCATGACCCGTCCATGATCCTGCACACAAAGTTCCCTAGCCCCTGCCCCAAAAACCAACCAACAAGCAAACTTTGCTAACTTGTATTCTGCCAGGTGTGTGCGGCCCTGCTAGAAGCACAAGACTAAATGTGTCAGGTCCTCAGAGAAGAACTTCCCGCAATTTGTAGTCAGTGTCATCAGGGAGCCATCTTTCAGCTGCCCACGAGGTCTGCCATTCTTGGCATATTGAGTCACATCAACAATATTGTATCTCTTGGAATCCAACGCACGGTATGCCATGAGGTTCTGTTCCTTAGATATGAGGGAAACATTGAAATGCCTTGACCCTTAGACGCGAATTTGCTCAACACATCATGATGGTAAGTTTGTGCGCTCAAACTACTGTACCCCCAAAAAAACCACCCAAGCACACACCTACTGTTTTTGCTGTGGTTCCTCCGCATTTGTGAGTCTCTTCTTTGGAACTTTCTCCCAAAAATAGTCCCGAGCAGTAAGCACTGGTTTGGCCGCCAGAGCTGTCACGAACTCATTGAGCGTGAAGTCAGCATCCCACCGGACATGGTCGGAGTCATAGCAAATCATATAAAGCCGCGGCCTCGAAACGCCCATGCCGAAGATACGAGGGTCTAGCCTGGTCGCCTGAATCCGCCAAGACGGCCCCAAACGAGCAGCCACAATCTCTTCAGAATATTCTGTAACGTTCTCCACAATCAGAACGGAATTTGATTTGCCATACTCCTGATAGTATTTCTCATGTGTTCTGAATGAGATGTCCTGTTCTTTCCGCCGACGTCCCATCAGCGAGAAAGCTACACAAACTGGTCCTTGGATAAAGTGAAAGCGCTTGAACATTGGCTTGTTGAAATTTGAGCAACAAGTTATTTGGACATGTTGACCGAAGTTCAAGGACAACACCACAAACTCCTGCGCTCGGCTGGCTGACATCTTGAACTCAGCTGAGGAGCCAGCACAATTGACATTGATGCCTTGCAAGGCGGGGCAGTTCGTTCACAAAATAGATCCCGGTCACGAACACAAAATAGATATACGCCATGAGCCATGCTATCATGAAGCGGCAAGTCGTTCAATCATGTGGCAAGCTACGGGTGTTGGTCTTCTTTTGAGGCTTGCAGAATTTGCCATGTGTGCTGCAGTAGTTGCCGCATGTAGCACCCAACTGGATATCCATGATGTCAGGGTAGTTGCAGTGGTTGTACGTCTGTGCCAACACGGTCTGACACGTTGTGGATACTTCACAACTGGATCCAAGACGGACATTCCTCAACGGTTTCTTGAACCCTGTCTTTTCAACCACAAACTTGTGAGCTGCGGACTGAAGGCTCAGGCTCGCCTTGGCAAAAGGGTGGAGCACATTCTCTAATAAGTATTCAACTTCTACCAAACAGTCCATTGGGTGTTTGACATAAATGCAAACAATGTCATCAGAATTCGAATGAAATCGATTCTTCAAGAGAATCAAGTCACACTCTCAGCAGCTCCTATACCACTAAAGGCTGTGCTCAAGTTCCACCTCCAGTTCCACAACCTTTTGAGAAGCCAGCGTTCTCCATATGTCTCAGCTATCACTTTCAAAAACTTGTCCGGCCAGGCAAAGGTTTGAATGATGCTCTTGAAGCGGACTGGGAGCCCTTCTGCAGGCAGTTCTACTGAAGTCTTCGGATAACGTCTCCTCGGGAATGTTTCGAAGTGCGACCGATCTACCCATGAGACAGGTGCAGTGGTTCATCACTGATGCCAGTTACACTTAGGCAAACTACTATATTTATTGCTTGCATTTGCACGGAAATACACCATATTCTGAAGTAACAGTAAAAGGTTAAGAGCAAGACGTTTTGGTCTTCAATGCATTCTTCTTGACAGACCTGGGGCATGGCCCAAATGGATTGACAGGTCCAAAACAGAAACCCAAGGGAAGTTAACAATAACATGATCATCATGATTGCGAACAACCCACAACATCAGCTTTTGAGCCAACCCTGTAAATTGTGAACATCTTGAGCAAACCTCTGAGCATACCGCCTCCTGTTGGTGGACCCTTGGTGTTTTCCTTGAGCTAGAACAGGATCCCGCGGCCTCCACAATGTGTTTTGGCCTATTATGGTTCAAGAGGTTCATCACCTGGCCTTGAGGAAGAACTTCCAATCATTTTGACTGCTTCTCGAAGGCTGCATCTCTTTGGTTTGGCCATCGATGTGGCTCAGGCAAAGGCAAAGACACTGAACCCTAGCTGTCCCTTGATCTTTGGCAAAAGAAGATAGATGTTCAGTCACAAGTCCCACAGCGATTGAAGCGTGACCTAGACTACTGACTGCTTTGCAAGCGTTTCTTTTGCATTCTTTTGCATCAATTATCAATTGTTCGAAGCACTGTTGAAAGGCTATTGCATTTCTAAAGCGGAAGCTATGCGCCGGCTCTTTCGAGTAGGGGCCTCCCACGGTGCCATGCACATACTTAGTCTCGAAGATGTGAAAAACTACTTACAGGTGTTACAATAATTCAATACGGATCAAACAATGAGTCAACTGTCTAGGGCCGTTGAAAGACAATGCTTGGACGGAAGGCAAGATCACGACGGAAGACAACGGCCTCTTCGCGCCTTTCATGACCATCTTGATCTGGTGGCGCCTCAGCCAAGAGGGCATGACAACAAAGGGTTACGGTGTTTGCAGCTTTGGGGGGCTGGGCTGTGTTGCAATGCTCAGAAACAGGTCCGTATTGAATACCTCGCCATGACACCTATCAAGCAAGGAGGTTGATTTCATCTTGAACTTGGTAGAAGATTCAATTAAAAAAACTCTGTCAGCTTGTCGCCTCTCCAGTCGAGATTAGCATTTCTATGGTCACCTCATCAGTTTCAAGAGGTTGAGTGAGTTGGGTGTTGAGACTGTTCACTGACCCCCAAAAACCAGCCTGTGAGTCTTCATTGTATGACCAGTGGTCAGGGTCATCCTGAGGCCAGTAATCCTGCACGGCAACATTTCAGGTGCATTTCTAGGGTATCAATCCACTAAGAGGAAAAGGGCAATCAGCTTATGCACAATGCTCCTCAGCGTCACAGGTCTTCCTTTTGGCAGGGTTTGACATTGGAACTGGGCTGCCCTGAAGACACATGCCAGAACAGTTGATAGACAACAGTGCCAAGTTGATGCTTCGCTTCTCATGAGAAGCTTAGGCTAGACATGGCACCCACGCCCAAGCCTTCACAAGGACTTCTGGCGAGTCGTTTCCGTGGCCATCCAGAGCGGTCAGTGTATGGGGCATGCCTCCAGCAAGGCGAATCCAAGAAACTGTTGAAAATACAAATCAGACTCTGTTTGATGGAGTAATATGGAGTTCCACTTCAACATTCAAATCCTGCGATCGTGCCTATGCTGGCTAGGAATGTTTCCCCTGATCCTAACAAGCTACACGCGCCCAGTTGGTACCCCTAGCAAAATGCCTGCGGATGAAACATGTTCATGACATGGAATCCAGTGTAGCACAAACCATCATGTCCAGGAGTATATGAGCGACAGCTACAAAAAGAACAGCAAGTCGATTTTTGATTTCCGGGGTGGCAATAGTCTTGGAAGTAGGACCGCACGCTGCCAGCCTTAGCCTTCGTTGATGGAAATTCAACTCATTGTCATCAAAGTAAGAAAGGGAGGCCAAGATCAAAAGCTTCCTTCAGGCTACGGCCGCAGGTGGGCCCGAAGTCGCATAGCTGGTGCAACCCTGTCAAGCACCGAGAGCCCCCCCAAATCTATAGCGGGTGCTCGAGGCTCTTCCTCCAACCATTTAATGGTCGGAACAGCCTCTGGGTCTAAGCCAGTGCAAATCCCAACTAAAAAACTCTACTGCCCTCCGAGTTGCTTCCGACGGGTTTGTCCGAAGCAAAATTTGGGCCAAAGCCAAGTAGTCTTTCTTTTTGGCGGGTTTGATCAGCTTTAGGCTTCGTGGCTCAGCGGGCAAAGGGCCAAATCGGGCAACGTACCGGTATGGAAACGCCAACATTGGCTCCTGTAAGAAGACTTTCAAAATTGAGCTTTCCAATATTTACCAAACAACGATATCATCCGTATTCCCATTCAAGAAAAAACTCACGTTGAACAACTCCTGACACAATCCATCGTCCGAAGCGTTGCGTTTGACCATCAGGATCACGTCAGATTCGTGAGTCTCATAGGCCGCACCCCGACCGTGGGCGACGATGTTGATGTTGGCAGGGAGGTCTGACGGACGCTTCAAAGCTTCTCTGACACTTTCTCAAGGCAAGCACTAGCCCACAAACACTATTTAGAGCTATTGGTAAGATATTACATAAATCTACAGGGTGGTGACCAGAAAGAGGTTAATGGATTGTGCTTTGAATCACAGTTGACCAGAAAGAGACTGGTCATTGGATTGCGCTTGGAACCACAGTTGCTCACCTGAGCGGCGCATAAAGATGAACGCGTGCAGGCCCGTCTCGTCCGTTTTGAGACCCCCGGCAAATGTCACCGGTGCAGCCGATAGCCTTACACTGTTTCAAAGGGCAATCACATTGCATCTCATACTCACAAGCTTCAAAACTGTGCAACATGTGTTGAACAAAGTCACAAAACGAACATCATAAAATTCTTGAAACATTTGAACCAAAGCACCAGTTCTTGAACTCCCGAACACCGGATATGTACTGCACACGGATTCGTGCCTTTTGTCCTATCCAATGCCTGACCCCGATGCGGTTCAAGACGTTCTCGATCTTCCTTGAGACATGGCTGAGGTGACAATGAAACCATTAAAAGTCCTGAGTGTAATTACCTATTTTACTGTATGTTCAATTGGATCACGTTCCCTAAGCTTCGGACGCTGCGACGTCAAGACCATCTGACAAAATGTCAATGTACTTCATGGCCGTCGCGATCAATCCGTAGATTTGGTCTTAGTGGGAGGCGGCTGTGGGCTTGAGCAACGTGGGTCCAACTCACAAGAGCCTAGACAACCCCTTCAGACTGATTTCAGGAGTTGCTGCAACACAGACAAGAGCTGCAAAATGCGTGCAAGGAACCACACGCTGAATGCGTGTGGCCCACTCTTGAAAAGAAGTACCCACACATCCTCATCCTGTGAGTCGCACATAACCAGCTCAAGAACCGCAGAAGTTGCCCGTTCTTGTTCTCCCTCACGCAATTGTCAGCCTAAGTTACAGCACTAACTATTCTTGGTCAAAACATTATAAGACATTGAATTAAAATTTAGGGGGGCAAAAGTTTGATACAAAGTAGGGTGTTCTTCAAGTGCTTCCCAGTGAAACTGAACTCTTGTTTCCGACGGTTTTCAGTCCTACTGACTGACTAAATTATAAAGAAAGAAATGTTGCAATTCAATCAAAGGCTCCCAAACCAAAAGCTGGTTGGGGCGGGGAACTCTCAGCTCATCGCACAGCTGCAAAGCAAAGTCTATTGAGCGACTTGCGGTCTCCAGAACCGTGGTTGAGTCAGCTGCCACTCGAGGATCTAGGACCTGGCAGAGAGGCAAATTGTTGGAATTCAGGCTCAGGCCAGCAAACTACAAAGTACAATCCCCACATTTGCAGCCCCTCAGCTTCAACAAACAAGAAGTTGTTTAGACCTGTCTATTCCGTGGAAATGGCGCGCTCTTTAATTATTATCAAAGCAATTAATTGAACCTGGCGGAATGTGTTGCTTGTTGGCGTGCTTCAATTCAATGTCACACTGTCTCAACGATGCCTTGCATCTCCCCCCGGTATTGACATGAAGAGAAACCATTAAACTGATAGTAGCACGGTTCGACATGGCATACCCATGTCAGTGTATTAGGCAACATGCCCCTGAAAGCTCAAGACTTGAGTCAGACAGTAAGTTAATGATACAACATTGTACATCTGAGCACGATCAACCCCAGCAATTGCCAAAGGATTACTACTTTGCAGCTTGGACGCGTAAAGGTCCAGCAAAACGTTAAAGATCCATATGCCCTGCACTTTGAGCTGTGGTCGTTGCAGGTTCATCGTTGACTTCAAAGGGCGCTGTCCATTGGGGCCATGATACCGTGGGATTCTCCATTTGCTCTGGTCCATTCCGTCCTTACATGGACTGAACACAAGTCGGAACATATACCCAGTGCACCCTAGAAGAAAGGGATTAAAACCATTAGGACGCTTAATGGTAGCTGCACACTGCGGTGAACAGATTCAATTGACAAGGGGCCCAATGCATTGCCAATGGATGTCCACTTCTCTCCAAAGGGTTGCTAGCTTGGAGAAACTGCTCCAGGTCACGGTCCCGACCGACCTCTTCCAAATGATGTCGGTAACAGCGAGCTGTCTCAAACTTGGTTTGAGGGTCAAGCTGCCGTTTGAAGTCGGATTTGAATCCGCAACAAACATCACAGGCCCCGTGTGTGGATGGAGCCACAAAACGGAGCAGATTGCTCCAGCCCTGGCGAAAGGTACGCCAAAAATGGTTGTACGATATGCCGTCGCCTTTCCTCTCTGTTTGCATGTTCATCCACAACATATGAATGGTTCCTGGCGGCAAATACCGGACAGGTAGATTCTTGATGTTGCTGGCGAAGTTTGTTTCCACGCATGATGTGAAAAAAGGAGTTCATGCCGAGCACGTGAAGTCGCAGTTCCTGGTCCTTTTCGATGGGCTCTTCTGGGATAACCTCGTCGTGATCTCCTTCATCTGATGTGCTCTCGGCCTCTGACTCGTGGTCATCCACCGACTCAAATACCACTGTGATCTTCTCATGAGACTTCTTGCTGCGACTTGCTCGCTGAAACCTGATGATTACAAGTCGTCGTGAGCTCTTAATTATGCATTGGGTTTGGAACGGTCACCTATTAAACTTAATTAAACTTATTAAACATAATTTGTACTCACCCCCCCAACAAAAAAACGGTTGTAATTGCAAGCAAAAAGCTTGTTCGGCAGCATGCCAGCTGACTTCATGTACACACCAAGCAAGAACATGTTTATAGCTCTTCTCTTTCGAGCTGTTCGCTTGATTACCTCAATTCTAGGCTCTTGGCAAAGCGTGTCCAAGGCGCCCTAATTTTAAGTCTAGTGACCCAAAACCCACCACTTGTCATCATTCACAGTACAGTAGTGAGTTGATGGCATGCTCCAAGGTGTTTCAATGGTTCAATGGTACACCCTATTTTAAAAAAACTGCACAGTAACAAAACAGTTCAATGTTCAACTTAACCAAAGCACGTTTCCGTCAGACTTCCGCATATCCCGTCTAAATTGCAATATCCGGCTTAACCGATCATTGCCCATACCCAGCAAAGCCATCGCACACGCTGGCGACACCTGCTTGCCCAAGACGTACCAGGACCTCCGGCAGTTGGCTTTATCGCCAGCAACGAAAAGCACCTCAAATGGCATCATTGCACACGTCTTCGAAAACGACAATAAGCTGTAAACTTTGTGTGCAATGAAGTGGCCACTGTGTTCGCAAAGCTTCTATAGCCTACTAATGACATGGTTTGGCAAAACCAATTTACATGACAACCTCAATGCAGAACTCGACTCTGACCATCAAAACAAACTCGCAACCTATGACAGAGCCCTGCTGTTAGACTTAGAGCTAAATTATACTCAAGCAAGGCACGAAAGAATCCTGAGCAGCTCTTGCTAGAGACCAAAAGATCTTCAGGAATTTCAGCAGTTGGTCTACCATATTTTGCCGGTACTTGGCAAAACAAATCTTCCTCTGACACCGACAGCAGTCACGTCGGATCAGGCCCTCCACGCGTGCTCGGCTGAGACCATTCTCAGTATGCCTTGGATAAATCTGCTTGGCGATTGGCGACACAAATTAAACCTGCTACAATGCTACAAGTCGAAAACAAGTCCAGAAACTTGGGAATCAAGTTACGAAGTTCTTGCACGCTGAAGTCTCATGTGTCTTCTTCGGGAACCATCATAGTTTGGACGCTTCCGGAAATTCACCTCTTCGCTAACAGGGCTCAATCCCATACCATGGATGCCCTGAAATCGACTCAAGGTATCAAAATCAAATCTGACACCTTTGACAGGCTCAACCACTGGCTTCGCAGGTTCACTGGGTGCGCTTGGCTCTTCACGTGAGGGCTTGGCATCAATGGAATCCTCTGGGTTCCGAGCCAAAGCACGAAGGAACCTGGCGCATCTGACAAAGAGTCTGCAGGCTGGGTTGCAGTTTGAAGAGTGGTCGAAACCTTGCAATTGATCAAGAACAACTGCAAAACTAAGACCTAATACCTACTCAAAACTGCGCAAGTCAGGAGT